TTCCTCAAGGCCCCTCTACCCTGCTCCAACCCTTTTTCCTACAGGACCCCCCTCCTCCTCCTGCACCCTCATCCCTGCCCCCCCAGCCCCACACCTTGTAGGGGGGTGCGGGAGTGCTGCCGGCGCTGGTACAAGTAGCAGCAGGAGCACATGAAGCAGCAGACGATGGTGGTGACGATGGCGATGAAGAGCACCACGGCTGAGGCGATGCCCGCGATGGTCTTGGGGCTGTGGGGAGCAGGGCTTGGGGGGCACCCGTGGCACATACCCCCAGCCAGCAGCCACTGATACTGCCCAATACCCAGTGCCACTGTCCAGTGCCCAGAACCAATGCCCAGTGACGCTGTCCAGCACTGCTGTCAGCACCCAGTACCAGTGACCACTGCCCAATATCCAGTAGCAGTAACCAGTGCCCAGCACTGCCCAGTGCAAGTTTTCAGTGCCAGTGTCCAGCACCCAGTACCAGTGACCAATCCACAGCATCCATCCCCAATGTGCGGTGCCCAGTATCAGTGCACAGCATCCAGTGTCCAGTCCCAGTGTCCAGCACCCAGAACCCAATACCAGCACCCAGTACCAATACCAAGAGCCCAGCACCCAACAAAGTGCAGAGCACCCAACAGCAGTGCCCAGCACCCACTGCAAAGCTCCAATGCCCAGTACCAGTGCCCAGAGCCTAACACCCCAGTACCAGTATCCAACACCCAGCACCACTGCCCGGTGCCCAGTACCCAGCACTCAATGCCCAGCACCCAGTATTAGTGTCCAGCACCCAGAGTCAACAGCTTGGCAACCCAGTAGCGCTGCCCAGGACCACTCCCCAGTGCTCAGAACCAGTGCACAGCACCTGCATTCAGCATCCAGTAACAGTGCCTGGTGCCCAACACCCAGTTCCCCTGCCAAGTACCAGTGCAGAGCACCCAGCATTCAGCACCCAGTGCCACTGCTCAGTACCAATGTCCAACCTCCAGTACCACAGCCCAGCACCCAATACCAGTGCCCAGCATCACTGCCCAGTGCATAGCACACAATGACCAGCACCCAGTACAACTGCCCAGCACCCAGTACTAGTGCCCAGCACCCGGTCCCAGCACCCAGCCTGCCCAGGGGAACCCCAGCCCCAACAGCCCTGGCTGTGGCACCTGAAGGCAAGACAGTGGCGCTGCTGGCGCTCGGTGAGCAGGCGCAGAGGGTCTCGGCAGCAGTACCGCTGGTGGCACGTGCCGCAGCAGAAGGTGAAGAACTCGCAGTCGAAGCCGGGGTGCCATGACCCGTTTCTGTCCACGTACCACAGGCAGTCTTCACCCCCGGCCACTGTGGACAGCCACCCATCACCGGGGCCTTGGAGCACCTGGCCATCACCACCCTCGGGGGCATCAGCAGCACCCCATGCCCTTCATCCCCCACATGAGCACAGCCTGTACCCCACTGTGTCCTATTCGCTTGTACCCCAGTCCATCCTGCTCCATGGACCCCCAAAGTATGCCCCTATACACCCCCAAATACCCTGCTCCTTCCTGTCCCCCTGTCCCTCATACCCAGCCCCATATGCCCCACACCCTGCTCCATCCTGCCACATTTACCTTAAAACCCTGCTCAATCCTGCCCCTGTGTACCCCCATATCCTGCTCCATCCCGTCCTACCTCCTTCCGAGCCCTGCCCCTATGTACCCCGACACCCTGCTCCATCCAGCCCTGCACCGTTGCAGACCACTCTCCATCCCACCCAGCTTTCCGACCCCTCCAGATTCTTTCAGCTCCCCCCCTTCCGCGTGTTGCAGTAGCATTTCCTGCTCTATTTCTGGCCGAAGCCACCTGTCTTCCCAGAAATAGCCGCGGGCCGAGGCCCGGGGGCGGCCGGAG